TGTTGGTGCCGATCGAACTTCTTTCGAATTATTTTTCAAATAAAAATGCAGCCAATAAAAGTCTCATCATCATAAAATCGCATACCATCGGTAAGTGTCTCTCAATATTTTACCGCCTTCGTTTTTTTTTGTCTACACTAAACACCGGCCTCAAAAATACATTCACCTTTATTAACTCTTTTTAAATTTTTTTAATTGAATATAGTTGTGCCTCTTTTTAGAGATGCAAGTTTGAATTTAGAATGGATACAAAAATACATACCGAGCACTGGGACAAAACCGGTGATGTTAGTTGAAACGTATGGTGCTCGATTTACTTTGTGTGGTCGTAATGACACTATAGAAACTCTTTGGAATGGAGGTAGCGCAGAACAAAGTAATGGGATTCTGAATCGATTAAAGAACTTTCGCTCTGACCGTCCAAAACATGATCGCAACCTTCATCCAATCCCATTCCTAGCATGTGGTCCCGGCACAGGAAAAAGTCGGTTTTTGCAGGAACTTGTTAATATTATTCGCGATAAGGCTTTAAATTCTGGAGATGAAGATATTGCATCTTTGTTAGGAAATGCAGTTTTTCTGAACGTTACTTATGGAAATGGAACATATTTCACGGATTTTGACATTAATATTGGAGCAGAAGCTTCGGTAGCTTTGAGGATCTTATTCAGCTATTTTGTACATGGCAATATAAATGTGAGCTTTACTAAGTTTAGAGACACTATTGGGCAAGAAAATGCAAAGCAATTAACATTGGCTCGTGTTTTAAGAACCATTTACGAAAGTAAGCATGAAGAAGACAAAAGTATTAATAAGCTTGCAATTATTGTCGGTATTGATGAAGTCAACAAAGTATTTGATAAAGATTACGATAAATTTCGTGATCTCATATCTGCAATTGGCGGAACGAGTTGTGATTCAGAAATGTTTTTTGTTCCAGTCTTAGCGGGTACAGTAGAGGGTCCACTTCAGTCAATTATTACAAAATCAATGCATCCACCTCTTCAGTTACCATTGCATTTGCTGGATATAGACGATATGTTAAAAATAGCGTGTGATCTTGGCTTTGATCAAGACTTTGTTTATAAAGATAATCTTTTCAGACGTATGATTTCTGATATAGGTGGTCAGGTGCGCGCTTTAGAAATGTTTTATGAAAAAATTTCGAAAGCATCCAGAACCCGCGGATTGAAAGGCATTGATTTAGTGGACATTATGTTCTCACTTGAATCATTATTAAAAGAACGGTATGCATTTAGAATTTGTGCTAACATGATCACCTCAGTGCTCGCAAATGCAATTTTAGAAAGACCTGTTCGTGATGACGATTCTCCTGGCAAGGATGAAAAGGATCAGCTTATCACATACAAAATATTAAAGTCCAATGGAATTTTAACACTTGAACCAACTAGTAGAAAAAATAATGGCTTTTTTTATATACGTCTCCCCTATCTTTGGGTACGATTACTGATAAAAAATGCTGATAATAGATCAATTCATAAATTCTGGCATGTACTTATTGATCCTGATGAACCATTTTATTGGCAAGATTGGGAAATTTTTAATGTTAAGTTTTGGGCCTTGCGCTATTGTTTATTTTCAGCACTTGGACACAAACATATAGAGTTAAATGAACTGTTAAAAGGAGCACGTTATTCAGATAACTTAGATGTGGATGAAAATGTAGATATTCCTGATCATGAATCTATTAACACGCATTATCTTATTCATCGATTTCCTCCTTTTAACGGCTCTAATTTTAGTTTGTTAAATAAAACATGTAATATTTCACTTAAAGATAATAGTAAAATTTGTAAAAATGGAGGAGGGGCAGAAGGAGATGGGTTTTGTTTCTT